AAAACATGTAAATATACCTCGATAATATGTCGTTAGCGAGATTCAGGCATCTGTTATAAAGTATGAAAGCTACTGTCACATAATTATTATGCTTCGATTTCTTGTATCCTATGAAAATGCTTAAATGCCAATCATTAACTTACCCTGTGTTCGAATTGCTAGTTGAGTCACTACAGAATAATATTCAACGTAACTCATTAGCAGATCTTTCCCCAATTAAGCGGTATTTGTTCCTTCCAAAAATACATTTAAGATGTAATTCTTTCTTAAGTCTTCGATACAAAACAAATCGATTTTCTCGTAGGATGTCTGGACAAAGATTGATTGTAACAGTTGCTCAGAGCGATATTTACATTTGGTAAAATTAAGTGTCAGTAGTCTGGTATAAGTGCGTAAAGTAGTACATAATCAAGATGGACTTTCACGACAAAAGAAACTAGAAAAAATCTTGTAAAACATATTGATACGCCGGTAAGAGTAACGCCATCTATCGCCGATGAGCCGAACGAATATCGAAAGATCTAGTAGCACCTAGAACGCTCGAGAAGTACAACGCTATCTATTGCCAGATAGCGGAAACACAATGCTCCAAATGTGTGGAATATTCTCGATAATTCTAGGGATGTGGTATCGGCTATAAAAGCGTTTCAGAGATGGCACGCAGTGAGTCAGTAATCGGAACTACTCGAAGCGAAACAGCGGACGGATCACCTGAAGCGAAGCGGAAGAAGCGAATTTTAAAGTGTTTGTGAAGTGCTTTAAGAGTTTTAAGTGCTAATATAGTGTTAACTTGTAATTCGGTAGAATTTTTTTATTTATCCCGAACCCCAGCGCGTAACATTATTTTAATATCAAAACCGCCCAAAATTTTCCAGTCTTGACTTCAAAACCAGTCATTACGGTTGTTCTTCAAAACTTTACAAGAATTTAGAATATCTTTCTAATATCTCGAACAGTATTCTTAAAGTCTATAGACCTCTATAACCTTACTAAGTTTAATTAAACACGCTCGCTCTGACTTTCTACACCAATAAAAAAATTGGTAATTTCTTAAAAGTCACTCAATTACCGCCATTAAACTCCATTGCTGTAGTTCATATATTGAATTGTACTTAGATTTAGTGACGACGTATTGTTTCCTAAGATCTTGGAGCGGAAATATGTGAAACTCAAACGGGAATTCACCTCCAGAGAACTGAGGTTAGTTCGAAACTTTCCAATACTTCAAAGGTTTGAACTTTACAGACTGCTGTTTAGCAAACAACGTATTAATCGAATGAATGTAATTTTATTTTTTTTATTGCTTAAATGGATGGACGAGCTCACAGCTCACCTGGTGTTAAGTGGTTACTGGAGCCCATAGACGTCTACAACGTAAATGCGCCACCCACCTCGAGATATAAGTTCTAAGGTCTCAGTATAGTTACAACGGCTACCCCACCCTTCGAACCGAAACGCATTACAGTTTCACGGCGGAAATAGGCGGGGTGGTAGTACCTACCGGTGCGGACTCCTAAGAGGTCCTACCACCGGTGATTTCCAGTAAACACGCCCATAGTACGTTTTTTATAAATAAATAAAAAGTTTCAGTTTTAATAGCAGCGTACTTAACCCAGACATTCGATATAATTATTCCTATGCCTAAAAAAATTAAACTTACTTAAATTAAGCTTATAATAAGAAAATAATACTGGTTTTAGTATAATATGTGGTGCTTCTAAGAATTAGTTATGACAGAAAAACAATATTTTGTTAATAATGAGATGATCTAATAAGTTGTAATATCTATACCGAAAAAACATATAAATCTAGTAGAATTTCTCTTTTCAATCTTAATCCCAAAAAAAAGCAGACGTAGCATCGTAATTTCAATCGACGACTGATAATGACATGATGATTTTCTTTTAAAACAAATCTAATGTGTCGCTGTCAACTAACTAAAAGACACCGATCTTCCGACACAAGCACACGTAATTACACTTCGTTGTATCCCAAAAAGTTATAACATTCGTTATGTTAGCGTTTAAAGTGCTTTTAAACTTTTATATAAAAAGAGAACATGCTAAGAATCGGTCAAACGCCATTTGCAATTTATACCTAGCAACGAAAATTCGTAAAATCGGTATCGTTGTAATGCTGTCGGAGATGTTATCACCTTCCAAGTAATTTGTAGTACGAAACCATCGTGCATTCCGACAGGGCCCCGAAACTGCGATACTTTAAGACCATTTTTTTTTTTGACAACTAGCGACATCTTGTAGCGGATGTCCCCAAACTTATGTGTTGTTAAAGTTATGGCATTTAATTATTGTATAACTCTACACAGAAAACAAAAAAAATCATACAAGTCTTTATTTGTTATAGACAAATTGACTAAATTTTATCAATTTGTGGATTCTGAAAATTTACAAAATCATTCATTAAAAATAAAGTGTAGGATAGTTAATATGTTACTGCCATCTACAGGAGCAATGAGAAACTAATCGAAGCGAAGCCATCTAGTGGCCGACGCCCGTAAACATTTTTGTTGAATACTTGAGTTGCTTATCTACAACTAATTTATGTGTATTCTCTATCCATTCTGATTGGTAATACTCTGCAGGATAGCTATACTAGGACTGTTGAGGCACATCATGTAATGGTAAGTGGCATCATCGCTTTTATACCTATGGTCTCTCCTCTGTTATCGATCACTCTTGGAAGCCAAGGCGGCAGTTAATGTTGCCGTCTATGGCACTAAAATAAAAATTCAGTCGAGTGCTCTCTAAGTTGAGGCTATGACAACCTCAATGCGCATCAAATGCAACTTGACCTCCATCGAAACAGCACTTTACGTTAAACCCACAAACGAATTTCAGTCTTGTTTGTTTAGGACGCGGTACATTTTTCTATATCCACATAATTTCAAGATAGGGGCCGCTTGTTTTAGTGTTCAATATTGTATTCTGTTTGCAGGACGCGAATTATATATAGATCGAACGATCTGTTGTAAGAACGGTCTTGTCTTGTGTACATGGTATTTTACATGTCCTATGAGAAAACTAGGGTATATCTTTTTACATATTATTATATCTATATTTATCTGTAGTCAATTGTTTTTTATTCATTACACGGATGAGCTCACTGCCCGTCTAGTGTTAAGTGGTTAGGTAAACTATCTTCAAAGATCTCATAAAGATACGGTTTTTTTATTGCTTAGATGGGTGAACAAGCTCACAATTCACCTGGTGTTAAGTGGTTAGTGGAGCCCATAGACATCTACGACGTAAATGCCGCCATCTTCCTTGAGATATGAGTTCTAAGGTCTCAGTTTTTACAGTACAACCGCTGGCCTACCTTTCAAACCGAAATGCATTACTGCTTCACGGCAGAAATAGGTATGGTGGTGGTACCTACACGTGCTGACTCACAAGACATCCTATCAACAGTAATTTGCGCAAATTATAATTTTGCGAGTTTGATTTTTACTATTCTATTTGCATTTTGATACACTTTTGAAGTCACTTTTTATTTGAATTCGATTCTGTTTTGATGCAGTTGCGGTATCAATGTAGCTTGGAACGAGGTCGTAGCGTAAGGGTATGTTCACACAGACCGGCTCGGAGAGCATCGGCCCGCTTTTTTTCTTTTCACACAGACCGGATCGTATACGTTTGGGACTGACCGAAGCGGAATCGCCAACTATTTCACCTAGACTGCCTGGAAGAGATTTGAACGCAATCGGAGCTTATCGGTTACGCGAGCGAGAAAGAGCGCATAATCGTAGCAGGTCGGCTCCTCTTATTATTTCACACGCAGCGCGTTAGAAGTCGTCGTGGCCTAAAGGATAAGACGTCCGGTGCGTTCGTATCAAGCGATGCACCGATGTTCGAATCCCGCAGGCGGGTACCAATTTTTCTAATGAAATACGTACTTAACAAATTTTCACGATTGACTTCCACGGTGAAGGAATAACATCGTGCAATAAAAATCAAACCCGCAAAATTATAATTTGCGTAATTACTGGTGGTAGTCTTCTTGTGAGTCCGCATGGGTAGGTACCACCGCCCCACCTATTTCTGCCGTGAAGCAGTAATGCGTTTCGGTTTGAAGGGTGGGGCAGCCGTTGTGACTATACTGAGACCTCAGAACTATATCTCAAGGTGTGTGGCGCATTTACGTTGTAGATGTCTATGGGCTCCAGTAACTACTTAACACCAGGTGGGCTGTGAGCTCGTCCACACATCTAAGAAATTAAAAAAAAGCATTTTTAATGAAAAAAAAAGTGCACATGCAAAAATAAACTTTACGACAATCACTCAGAGTTTCCAACGTGATAAAAACCTGCTCTCCTCTCCGAGCCGGTCTGTGTGAACGGACCCTAAATTGTTTGTTGGCTAATTTAAAACACACCTAGTGTCTGTACACATAGCGCGTGATTTCATGATTTCTTAGTGATAATTGTGTGGCAAGTAAACGTTTTTTCAAGTAAACACGCACCTACCGCAAATTCATTATAAGGGAAATTAAAAAAAATATTTAAATTTAAGCTTTTTTGGGGTGAAATATACTTTAAAAATACATTTGAATATTCAACGTCAGTGAAATTGTATAAACATTACGAAAGACTGCGATGGATTAGAATAAATGAATTTTGAAATTTTGATTTTGTTTATTCTCAAACTGTTGTGAACCTCTTTGCTATTTTGATAACTAATGTAGTTTTATATACTTCATTTTTTGACGTTTGTCTTCATATTACCCATTTCTTTCTGTTTTCTTAATTTTCTGTTTTTATTAAAAAATAATCATTCTCAACTTGTTTCATCGTTTATCATTTTACAGAGAGTTGGTTAGTTTGTTCATTTCATTTTGGTCCTTCACCAGTAATTTTCCAGCGTACCTATTTTTCATTACGTAGCTTTAGTTATTCGTTCATTTCGTAGTATTTGTTTTAATTTTCACTGCTTTATTTCATTTTTGTTTCTCGCTTAATGATCACCCGCAGTAAAAGTAAAATCATGCCGACAAACCCTGCGACTAGTACTGGTTNGCGGCAGATCGCGCTGCGCCGAGAGGAGCTCCGTCTGGCCTTGGTGGCGGAATGGCGGCAAAGGCTTCTGCGCCCTACCGCCGGCCTCGCAACCGTCGAGGCGATCCGGCCAGTACTCGACGACTGGCTCGGGAGAAGGCACGGATCCCTGTCGTTTAGGGTGACACAGGTGCTGTCGGGGCACGGTTGCTTCGGCAAGTACCTGTGCCACATAGACAGGGAGCCGGACGCTCGGTGCCACCACTGCGTCCACTGCGGGGAGGACACGGCGCAACACACGCTCGCCGAGTGTGTAGCTTGGGAGGAGCAGCGCCGTGTCCTCACAAATGAAGTAGGAAGCGATCTGTCGCTGCCGGCCGTAGTGCGGAGGATGGTCGGCAGCGCAGAGTCGTGGGAGCGGTGGTGTCCTTCTGCGAGGACGTGATGTCGCAGAAGGAAACTGCAGAACGGGAGAGGGAGATCTCGACTCCCTTCCCCGGCCGCAGAAGGCGCACCGGGCGCAGGACAAGAGCGGACAACGCCCTTTTCCGCCCCCCATGAATGGGTCCAGGGGCGAGGGACTTGGGAAAGCCCTCGCCCCCCTATTCGATGGACCTGAGACGGAGGCGCATGCGGGTGTCGGCGCGTGCCTCTGAGGCGATGCACGGAGTAGCTTAACGCCTCACTACTCCGTGCAGGAGACGAGGCCTGGACAGACCGGGCCAGCACTGGTGTGGGGCTGCGGAAGAATTTGGATTCCCGCGGCCCTGCGCGCACGTGTGGGTGGACACCGGGGTGGTTTTAGCCGGTAGGAGTCCGGCACGCCCCTTCGCTTTTCCCCAGGCGGAGGTAGACCATGAGGATTTCCACCCGAAAAAAAAAAAAAAAAAAAAAGCCCTCAAGACTACCAGCAATTAGGGAGGATACAAATTTAATCTAAAACATTTTTTTTAGTTGTGCACTCTTTAACTAGTGAGAAGTGACCAATGCTCCGTAGTGAATAGCGATAAACCTACATATTATGTATGTCGGGGAAGCCACATTTTTTTTTTTTTTTATCATTGAATATTTACTGGTGGCCCGGAGGCCTTTCCAGTTTCACCAGGACAGGTGGGCGAGCAAAGGCTCAGCCAGGAGGGGTGGGATTTGCTAACAGTTACCCAAGCGCCTCCGAAGGAGACCTAACAGCTCAAGAGCAGCTGCTTCGCGAATGAATCTACTACCGGATCGGAATCGCGACCCACTGAGAAGATCCGGCGAGCTGATTCATGGGTTAGGTTGCACGGCGAACTCTTTGTCGAGTTCGACGAGTACGGTTACCGGGGTCTCTAAGCTTGCTCCTAGTGTTAGAGCTGAAGGCGTCTAATGCAAAGGTTATTGGATCTGATGGATCCGTAAGGACGTGTCTAGGGCGTCGACGGTGACTGGCTCCTGCGTGATCAGGATTCGGGGAGTAGTCAGCGGCAGCAACGATAAGGCGATTATCATGACGCATAGCCTTAGCGAAGTACCGTTCCGACGCTGATTTCATGTATTTCTGGATAGATTCGAGGCCCAGGTCGTCGTGTAGGTCAACATTCCTCACGAACCACGGAGCTCCGACGGCTAACCTGCAAAAGCGGGATTGTAGAGATTAGAAAGTGTCTATGTGTGTGCGGGCCGCGTGAGCGAACACCACACTCGCGTAAGTCATGACGGGCCTTATGCAAGTTTTGTAAAGTGTCACCTTGTTCCGAAGGGACATTTTACTCCGCGTACAGATCAGGGGGTAGAGTCTACCGAGAATAAACGCGGCACGGTCACGGACTGATTTTATATGCGGGCGGAATGTCATCGATGCATCCAGGGTAACGCCCAGGTACTTGACCTTCCTAACCCAAGGTATGGGTTGTCTAAAGAGTCAATTATTAACAACATCGTCGGACATCATAGGGACGAAAAGGGGTGATTGAGCTAAGAGAAACACCAGTCACGTTTGTTGTCTTAGAAGAATTTAATTTAATTGTGTACAAATTCAGCACAGATCTGTATGGTGTGCCTATTGAAAAAAAAAAAAGAAAAACTCCTCTTTAAGCAAACGAAAACGAATGACAGTTCTTAGGACGGAGGCAACGCTCTTCACAACGTAACAACAACTGTTCGAGTAACAAGGTCGACTTATTCAGTGGAGCAATAGTTAGCGACCTTAAGTGTGCGCCGCAGATTTGGTTTTGATTCCAGCATCGGGCATAAAAACATTCCTGCGATGAATGGGTCTGTTTGCTTTTTGTCTAGGTGCTTATTATCGAAACATGTACCTATACATTTAATCGTACCATCCGGCCTTGGTATCCCATCCCCCCACAGTGTTTCCCGAGCGCTATGACACGTCCTTCTTCAAACGAGGCTTGTGGAGAGTATTAAGCGGTAGGCAGCGGCTTGGCTCTGCCCCTGGCATTGCTGAAGTCCATGGGCGACGGTAACCACTCACCATCAGGTGGGCCGTATGCTCGTCTGCCTACAAGGGCAATAAAAAAAAAAACTATGTATGTCAGTCTCCAGTACCCATAACACAGGGAAACCTAATTTGGGGCTGGATAATCGGACGTGATTCTAGTTTTATTTTAATATGTTTTTTTTAATGCATAGATGGGTGGACGAGCTCACAGCCCACCTGGTGTTAAGTGGTTACTGGAGCCCATAGACATCCACAACGAAACTGCACCACTCACCTTGAGATATAAGTTCTAAGGTATCAAGTGCCTATAGTTACAACGGCTGCACCGCTCTTCAAACCGAAACGCATTACTGCTTCACGGTAGAAATAGGCAGGGTGGTGGTACCTACCCGCGCGGACTCACAAGAGGTCCTACCACCAGTAATTACGCAAATTATAATTTTGCGGGTTTCATTTTTACTACACGATGTTATTCCTTCACCGTGGATATCAATCGTGAACATTTGTTGAGTAAACAAGTATGTGTAAACAATTCACACGGTAAAATCCTAAAATGAGAATATCAATTCTACATCACAATCACGACTATTAAGCGAAGATAATAAACCTATGAAAATTCAACTGAGAAATCAACAAATGAGTTCCATTAAATTGTCTGTTGTAAAAAAAAACGAAACGATTGACCTTTGAACCGAGGCAAGGCCGTTAGCTTCCCTCCTAATTGATAAATGAAGTTTTGTCTATCGATTTTGAGACATCGGCATCCCCACTTACCCTTCAGTCGATGCTGTTACAATAGCCACCTTCCCTCTGAACCGAGTGCCCTGAATTGCACGAACAGGGTTTGCTGGAGTTGACATGTTAAAACTCTTATCAATCAATGACACAACGGACCTCTTAGTACCACTATAACAACAAAACTACATTGTTATTATTGGTTCCGAATTCCACATAGTTTGATTTACACGATGTTCCCTGCGTATCTCCTTATCACAGATAAACAGCATAGATTAGGGCACGTTCAAGATAGAATCTGTCAAATTAAATGATGTAATTTGTTTTTTATTAAGTCGCTGTTAAATAAATGTTTCACGATTTTTTATCGATAACTAGATAGATACTAATAATCGATTTCATTTAAAAGCCGCGCCATGATGATTTGATGAGATTTTTTTTTGTTGCATATATGGGTGGACGACCTTACAGCCTACCTGGTGTTAAGTGGTAACTGGAGCCCATAGACATTTACAACGTAAATGTCGCTACATACCTTGATGTATGAGTTCTAAGGACTCAGTATAGTTACAACGGCTGCCCCACCCTTCAAACCGAAACGCATTACTGCTTCACGGCAGAAATACGCAGGGTGGTGGTACCTACACGTGCCGACTCACAAGAGGTCCTACCACCATTCCCTAGGCAAATTATAATTTTGTGGGTTTAATTTTTATTACACGATGTTATTACTTCACCCTGGAAGTCAATCGTGAACATTTGCTGAGTACGTGTATTTCATTAGAAAAATTGGTACCCGCCTGTGGGGTTCGAACACCGGTGCATCACTAAATGAATCGTCTCATCGTTTGAAACAGTACAGGTGTTTGTAAAATAGTATATGTCTATGCAAGTTCTCTGTGTAAGTATATCCCTACCTAATCGTTGATAGCCCAAGGAACTATTCCAACTAGCTCACGGTGTTAACCTGAGAGAGTTACTAACACTGATGCTAGAACAGTGCTTCGCTGAATCTTCCACCGGATCAGAACCGCGACCCACTGAGAAGATCCGGCGAAGAAGCTCAGTGGCTAAGTCTCTGTGTAATGCACTGGCTTTGGGAGCCAAATATAAGTGTAAAAGCGTGTGGGAGTAGTAACCGGCAGTGATCCGGGTCGCATGCCCGTATCGACTTCTCAATATCCGGTTGAACTTTGTAGGTTTTGTAGGCAGGGGCTTGGCTTTGCCCCTAGCATTGCTGGAGTCCATGAGCGACGGTTACCACTCACCATCAGGTGGGCCGTATGCTCGTCTACCTACAAGGGCAATAAAAAAAAAGAACTATCCGCATATCATTGGGAAACAAATAAATGAAAATCATCATCACCATCATCTTGGGCTTTACAGCCCAGGGTGGGCCTTAGCCTAGTCCAGTATGTCTCTCCAGACTGCTATGTTCAGGGCTTTCTCCTTCCAGTTCCTAACACCGATAACTTTGGGACCGTGCTCTACGCCATTTAACCATCAGATTTTGGGGATACCACGACTCCTGGGGCCCTCTGGTTTTCCATATAGTAATGAAATGAAAATGCCTCCCTCAAAATGACACATTAATTTATTTCAAACCTTAAATTACAATGCTTTAAGTACATACATGCAAGCAAACATCAAGAATAATGATTTATATAAATAGTTTTGTGAGTTCGTGCGTGAATTGCGGCACCGCAGTGGATACGCTTAGGTGCAAGCGACACAGTACCCGGATAACTTGAGACAACAAAAGCTTGGATGTGTTTGGAATAAATAACATCCTGGGTTTGTTTCATTAAAATATACGTCGAAAAATGATAATTGGTGAGCTTGTTTTGTATCGCACGCAATGTACATCTATCTTTTATAAGACGCGCTGGGGTCGACGACCTGGGAGGAACGCAGAGGTCGAATTAGCACGTGTTACATTGCCGCGAGTTATCGACTTACTAAATCGATTAATATATTTTGTTTGTTTGAACAATGTTTTCTGATTATGTTAAGCTAGAACTCACACATGTATCGGCACACTCTTTCAAGAAACTGGTATAAACTCGGACGTCACTTAAGAAATATCAAGGATTATATTTATATTAAACGTTTACAATTCATCAAAAAAAACTTACACAAATAAAAATTACAAAATACAAAATAATTTCTAAAACAGTAAAGTAAAAATAAAATATATCTTAAAACAATAAAACTATAATAAAAAAATGGTATATTCATTTGTAGAATCATTGAAAGATATACAAAAAAAGCACCATTATTTTTTGTTTTTGTCTCCTAATAAATTAAAATACATGGACGGATATGCAGAGATTCTGGTTAAAAACAATTTAAAATCACTTAACTTAAAAAACAATTATCATTTAATTAATACTTTGTACCTTTGAACGTAGACAAAGTGTAGGCGAGGGTTATAACACAGTTCCCAGGCCCGGTGTACTGGTAAATTGACTGGTGGTAGGACCTCTTGTGAGTCCGCGCGGGTAGGTACCACCACCCCGCCTATTTCTGCCGTGAAGCAGTGATGCGTTTCGGTTTGAAGGTTGGGGCAGTCGTTGAAACTATACTTGAGACCTTAGAACTTATATCTCAAGGTTGGTGGCGCATTTGTGTTGTAGATGTCTATGGGCTCCAGTAACTACTTAACACCAGGTGGGTAGTGAGATCGTCCACCCATCCAAGCAATATAAAAAAAATACAACTCCCGGTTCGACAATGAACAAACTGACAAAGCACCGAAGCTATCCTAATCAAATTTGTCCTTTAAGCTCATAAGCTATCCTCAATCGATTGAGATGAAGCTCGTTGCAGTTTTAGTTAGCTTCGACCCTACCGAAGACTTCCAAGACCTTCGAAGACTCAATTGTGTACCAGCTGTCCTTTACGTGGTATGTATGGGAATGACACGACATCTATTCATCATCCTCCTGTCCAGTTATCCTGCTGAATAACGGACGAGGCCCTGGCGACTGGTTGATAGCGGTATAGCGCAGTCTGAACTTGACATAACTAAACCTGATCACCGACCTCTGAAATCTCTAACAGGCCTGCCCATTGTGGAGATTATAGGCATTTCCTCCATGAGAGACACACAAATACGACGGCCCCTAATTGCCGGTCGCTCTGCTATTTCTAGTCACGGTAGCGACACTGGTGGGGGTTCTAAGCATCCCCGGGTTGCGGCAGGGACAGACCTATGTCCAGCAATGGACGACTGGACTGATGACGATGATGATCATGTCATTCACACCAGAATGCACGACTGCTTAGTGGCAGAAATAAACAGGATGGCGGTGCCTACCCGCGCGGACTATTAGCAGCCACTACCACGAATATTTCAACATTACTGTCTGCGGTAGTCCGTGTTTCAACCACAATTACAACAATATTTATGGTTTAATCTCGTATTTTTTCATTGTCATTATGTTACTACGATCGTTTTAAAGTTTTGCGGTCACCGATGATTGTCGGTGTTGTCCATCGACAGCTCAATATCGCGTTCACTACCGTCATAATTGTCTATGAAAAATATTTCTAGGTTATTTTTTTTAGCTCAAGACCGGAATATATCCGTATTGTGAAGTTGAAGACACAAGTCGAGCAAACTGTCAGACCCAAAGATGCTGTTAGTCCGTACCGTGTGTAATTAATCGACAAACTTCCCGCGCGAGATTAAGCCGTCAAAATAATTCTAATTGTGTCCACGAGGCGACAGTCGAACGGTAACACTACATACTTTAGCCTCCGTGTTTACCCTGATTTCTATATTAATAATGAAACTCTTGTGTGTTATTAACTTTAGTGGTATAAGAGTCCCGTGTTGACATGGTCACTTGCAAAACGACCGCCATTTGTCATACACTTATTTATCTCATCGTGTCGCATCGTCAAATGTAGACATTCTGCAAATGAATTCAACTCTAACGCTAATAATAATGAGATTACAACATTTTGAATACATCTGTAAATCAAGATTTAGAAATTGGTATATACAAGTTTTATTTAATAGTATTTTTTTTGTTGTTTTTGTTTCAAACATAATCTAATGTTATTTTAATAAAATTTCATCCTTACTTATGTAAATTTATGGTATATATTATAATATTTAATTTGTCGCATCGGTGGATTCCCAAATATAATATAAAAATAATAATAATTCAAAGTTTGTGATGTGAAATTTCCTTGTCAACTTTCATATTATGAAATGTTTAATTTCAAAACCAATATTAAGGACACACGTTTTTCGGAACACGTCACTGAACTTATACATCAAAAGAGTTTAATTACTAAATGAAGTTAATGTTAAATTGAAAGTGAAAAAATGTGTTATTATATTTAATGATTTCTCCTGCTAGGGCTGGCCTTAGCAATGTCCTCAGATTAGAGCCCTGTGAGCTCACCTACTGGTTCGGTGACGGTGGCATAGTCCTCAAAGACTACCAGTTGAGTAGGAAAAAAAGAGGGGTGAATGATTCGATATTATTATGTATTTATTAAATATCTATCGCCCGTCTCTCTCGCTCCCTGATCGCACTGATGTTCGTCGATATACACAATATTTTCGATAAAAATTTCAATCGACATCTCTATTTGACAACGCTGTTACAAGAGCGCACGCACGGCGAGACCTCAAGCGCAGACCTCAACAAAACAAACAGAATAAGCCGGCAGCGCGGATTCCTCGCTGCTGCAGCGCGAGTTTTATTATTAAAAGCTGACTGACACGTGCGTTTTGCATTATTGAAATATAAAAAAAAATGATTTATATTTTTTTCAAAGTGTTCCGATTTGTCTGTGTTCCTCGAAGTAAATCTTCTGTGAATTCGAGAGCATAAATCCTAAATCAGTTGACAGTGTCTTTAGATTGCGAAGAAGTACGTAAAATCATTATCTCTCTCAATTGGCTGTCAAAGAAATTTCACTTGCATTACACGTGCGACCAGCATACGTCTTCTTCTATTCTTTAACTTCCTTCTGGCCGGGCTGGTCCGTGTAGACTATTTCAGCGTACTCCGTTGACGGTGGAGGGGGCTTATCTGCTGAAGTCTGATCTCCGAGAGCTAATTCAGCGTAAATCACGCCTTTCTTCTCTTCTGATTGTGACTGAAACACATAATTATGTTTGTTTGAGAGACGATTCGGAACCATCTGATACTAGACGGTTAAACTAGAGACTAGGAGTAGAATAGAAGTAGATAGAGAAGGGGCTCTGTCAGTCTCCTATAGGCCACAGAATCGTTCGCCGCGAAGACCGCGAAGATGCCGTCGTCATTAAGGCTGTCAGAGCTTGTATCCGATCCCACAATACGGCCTATGCGCCACAAAAGATCTCAAGACCTCTCAACAACTCAGGCCCGGTTCTACACTAAGCTTACCTCAGCATCATGAGCGTCGGTGGCCTGGACGCGATCCTTGGCGCGCGGTATGACGGCCCTCACCCGCGCCCCCAGCGCCGCCAGCCGCGACCTCCCTGCGCCGGCCGCGCTCTCCGTGTCGCTACTGACAAGTGCCCACTGCTTAGTGCTTACCGTAACTAAAGCACCAAAACCGAACCAAAGCAGTTTAGGTAGGTAGTGGCTTGGCTGTCTCTAGCATTGCTGACGTCCACGAGCAACAGTAACCACTCATCACCAGGTCATTTCCCTACATGGGTAACACACAAACCAGCCTTCAGATAAAACGTGGCTCTTCAAACCTTCATCTTGGTGTGCCGGTGATTAGCGTCGAATTTCTATCAATCAGTAAAACTAGCGGTGTTTAATACGTGAATCAACTCTTTACAAACACATGCTGGTACAGTGAGGGTACACATGCACATCAACAACCCAGCTCCACCAGTCCACGTGGAAGTGTTCAGGGTGTATTGGGAACCATTCCGAAACTGAAGACAGACAATAAAACTAGCGACGTGCACTTTACAAGTTGCGAATGATTTTGTGTTGTTCTTTTTTCACAGCAAGCAATGTAACGCAATAAGAAACGTCTGACGCGTGAGACGCGCGCTCAAGCTTTAGACTGCGGGTAGTCAATGAAATGAAGAAAAAACTGTTTTTATTACTATTCGTATCTTTAGGGTAGGATAGGGTTCTGAAGTTCACGTTTCTCAGCGGAGTATGCAGATCAATTAGATATACACAAGTAAAGCTTAACTGTTACAGCTCAGATAAAGCTCTTCGTGATGATTAGGAAAAAAATATCGCGAGGTTCTAAGTCAGATCCTTCAGGAAGACGGAGGTTGAAGAACTAGAAACAACTCGTCGATAGTTACAGTGCTCACCAAGCGAAATGGGATCAAGCTGAGATACTCTATGAGGTTCTGAGTGTCCACCAACCGGCATCGGTGGTACTCTCTATTGTCATCATCTTTTCGTGTTCAAGAACAGTTCCCTTCACCGTTACCAAACAGGTGTTAGTATTACCACTTACGAAGGAGGAACCACTTAGGACTTCATTGCTGGAGCCCAACAAGAAGCCTTAAGAGAAAGTCGTTTTAGAACTACCTCTACACATGACTGCAGCAAGAGTACACGGTAGTGGCCTGTAGCCACAATAAATATAGCCATAACGAAAGGTCGCATTCGATCCCCCCTCTCAACAGGTTGTCTGAGGGTCCTTGTTTCTTAAGCATGTGCTACAGCGGATGCCTCTTAATAATAAAGTGCAAATGACAAAGCAGCACACGGTGCGGTAACCTGGACACAACGTACGTCGGAGACGACAGAGGCAGCCCCGACTCTATGAAGACGTCCCCCGCCGGCGTCCTTCAGAAATACGCAGTTTATTTACATTACAATAATATATACATATGCTTAAAGACATGCGCGAGGCTGACTAGAGCGAAAGGACTTTTCGGATAATACAGAATTTTAACAAAAGAAGTAAAGCGAAATGAAACGAGAATATCATCAACGTTGTCGAAGGTAATTAAAAAAGTACTGATTGGATCTTGAAATTTAAATGGGAACACGCGAGAAGCATCTCGTTTGAAATAAGAATCGCCAAATTCGATTCACTTAAAAGAGAGTTCTGATACATAAAAACATTACGGACCTAATGAAAACCTTCCTCCGAAATAATATTGGCATACTTTCGCCCGATTCATTGTCTATTGATGTCTAGTTTTAAATCAGGTTTATAAATAGGGCCATAAATTTACTAACTCAAGTATCCCCTACTAGAATCATGACTAAATCTTAACATTAAAACTAAAAAAATAAAATCAGGTCGGATTTTGGGTGAATATTGTCCGGCAAGTGGGCCACTCGTACCGAGAAAAACTCGGCGCGTAATTACACTAGTCTGACGGAAATATGGATCACCCATTCTCTCCTAAAGTTAACTTTAGAAACAAATTTGTCGTCACTACCCAGACGCACCCAGATGCACGGATGGGCAATATCCAACAAGGATTAGTCACGTTATTAATTGGGATATATATTGCGAATACTTCTATTGCTTCTGCACATAAAAGGTATTGCATGCTCGAATCTGATTGACGGCTTATGATGAAATACTCAAAGAAGTCACCGGTAGACAACCGCAGATGCGGTACCTACCCGAGCGGGCTCACAATGCGCCCTAATACCAGACCATGGTCACCTCATATCAAGCTCTTTCTGTCTGACCCTGGGTCAAGAGACGAACAAATTTGTTTGCCCTATATTTTTGAACATTTGTAAATCAATCTGTTAGCACAAAGTCAGGGTTGAAGGTCACGACTATGAGGTGTGAGGCACATGTATGGAAGAGGAGGATATATGTCTCTGGTACCCATAATACATGGAATTGCAGCTTGGAACCAAACGACTTTGTATAATGTGTGCCCACTGAATTTCTCGCCAGATCTTATCAGTGGGTCGCGATTCTAATACGGTGGTAGATTATTAGTTTGCTCTTACGAGGGCTGGTGTTAGCAAATTCTCTGAGGTTAAGCTCGTGAGCTCACCTTCCGGTCAAGGCGTAGCTGAAATAGCCTCTTAAGCTACCAGCGAATAGGTAGACAGGAAATAAAAAGTATAATGTGTGCCATATAATAAACTTAATTAACATATTTGTGGTCTAAGATGAATTTATACGTACGATTCTCCGGAGTTTTTGGCGAGCTCGCGACCGCGACCTGGGGACAGACAACAGTTGGTTCAGCCGATACGTGGTCAAGCCTGCGACAACGCACCGACGTACAATTCACACATCACGTTTATTATATATACAGATCTCTTTCTGTGTGAGACAAGGTTGCAATTATCGTTTATATCGACGGTTGAAAGGTTGTTTAGTTAAGCGTCATTTCGCTTAACACGCGACTATTATCTTTGTAATCAAAGGTCCGTTTTATTTGGTATCAGCATCAACAATTTGATGTTTTTTAAGTGACACACATAAAAAATAAAGTCGAATTGATAACCTCCTCATTTTTTGGAGTCAAAGAGACCTTACCTTCCCTTCTCTTCTCAAGGCTGTGCCCTTCGTTGGAACTGCTAGAGATAACATTTAATATTTTGACATTCGACCCCTGAGTGGTTGTTATACTTCAATTCGTAAATCTAGGTATTGCTTTGATGATTTGTTTTACTATGTCTATCTTTGTATATACAAATATGTTGCCATATGGCAACACTGAAATGCAATTCCTGTGTCATGTAAATAAAAAAATGACATTTAATTTAACCTTAAAAAAGGTACATATAGGTATTCTTTTTTCTTTATGTAACAGTTTTCGAGATAACATACTCGCTACTATGTCGCAAAATTTTAATAAATAAAAACGGGTTAGATCGTTTGAAAATAAAACAAAGTGATTCTTAATCAATAAATATTTTAATATTTAAGTCGAAAGTGGTGGTTCAAGGGCAGTAAGTTGTCACATTTATTATAATTTATAAACATTCATAAGTAACAGTATCACACGCTTAAACGAGTTTCACTTGATTTTAGTAAAAAAATTCCGAGATAGAAAGCACACAAAGAGCTTTCTTATTGTCAAAAGCTTAATTGCATAATTACCACAGTCTGAGAATGAAAGAGCAAGAAATCAAAAGATTGCCAGCCTGTGAACAAAAATTTTCCTATTTTTTTCGGCACATTGTGATTGATTACTTTGGTGATATCACAAATAAGCTATATCTCACGAGTTCATAGTGAAAATTTTATTATAAACATTTAATAATCAACAAATTTACTATAAAATTCATAATATAAAATTGTATTATATATATTTTTTTAATTTCGTTTCAAATTTCTAAACTGCCAAATCTACTGAATTTATACGAATATATTTAAGAACATTGATTAAGCGTGTGAACAGATATGTAAATATAAAATTCTAATTATTATATTTTTTTTATTAATATAAAAATGGCAATGTTTCGATCTTACTATTAAAGCGAAATACATACACAATAATTATATGACAGTTCTGTTTGTGAATTTTTACGGCATATTGGATCAATATTTGTCAAATGACAGTAACTTAAGACGCGAACAGTGTAATATTACATATTTTTCGGCATAACATAATCTAGTATATAAAAAAATAATCTCCTCATGATAATGTTTACATTACATATCTAAAATAACAAGAAATGATAAATACATTCGGAAAAAGACTAAAGTAATTATGATTTGACAGAAAACGCTTAAGTACAGCGATTTTATAACATTATAGGAGCCGTGCGAGAGAGATAGAAATACGCCTTCTCTCTCGATCGATTAATCATTATGGAGGAAGGAATTTCACAAAAAAGAGTTCGTTTTAAAACAGAACTATCACCGCCACTACAAAATAATCCGACGTAAAATTTAACTTAAAATTAAACTACAATAATATAATTAATTACAAAAAAAAATACAAAAAAATCACAATATCGGTGAATCGAGACTTAAGCTTTAGAATACAACTAAATTTGATTTTTACATCTAAAATCGGCAGTTAATAAGCCGTGTCATGATTATTTAAGTAGTTTAAAATTCTATGTCATTTTATGAATTTCACTTATCTGTGAATTCATTGCTAGATTTAGGAAAAGTACACATAACCTAAACTGTAAAACAATGTCCAAATTACTTAGAAATACGAATCATAAATGTCGGTTCATTTCTTAACGATATAGACGAGAAAGATCCAAAATACCTCGTCAGTAAATAAGTTTAGTAATAACTTTAAAAATCACTACGCAAATGACGTATTAAAATGTATAAATGCAAAAAAAATTCAAGTATTTTACCGCCATTTTGGATATTTTAGACAGTTTTTTTTCTTAGACAACACCGATCTTTCTGTGTATTTGTATTGAACCATTGAGAAATCCATTTTATTGACGCGAATCGACATTTATGATTGATATTTTGTATGTAATTAGTTAATTAAAACGTTGAAAATAATAAAATAATAATTATAAGCGCGAACGCTAACAGTAGCTTTAATTGCGCGTAATGAAACTAATACTATTTTAATATTAACGTTACATACATTATCTGTACCTTTTTATGCATTAAACTAAACATTTATTTACACAACTTGGTGGTATGTATGCTATATAAAAATAAAGATGCCGTCTCGGTGAGTTTTATCATAGCTTCAAGATTCAGTCGCGGCGCATATTAAACCAAAGCTTAGCATTTCGATGTTACTCTTAGATTAGCGTCAATTTCCGACAGTATGCGAGGTTGGCACGGAAGTGTAATATGCGCCGGACCTTAATTGCCATCGCGTTTACGTCAAGAGCAGAGCAATTCAATATATCATCAATATATTTTGTTGGGTGTTTGTTCAGGTCGAATTGTGGGAATATCGCGCGAAAATATCAAGCGATGCAGTGAGTTGTAATGGCGGACACATTGACAACTAGCTGTCAATGTCAAACATGTCAAACTGTCAGTGTCAAATTATTTCGTTTGCCACGTTGGACCGGCGCCGAACCGGAGTCCAACCGGTTCCTGACGGAGACGTGGATCCGGCAGACGCCCGGCGGACACTTCCGGCACGGGTCCGCGATTGTCTCCGCGGCCACGAATCATACATGAACAAACACTAACAGAGTAAAAGTGACGTAAACATAAAATTTAAACTAACTCGAGACAATTTCATTCGAAATCTTCCTTTTTGTGTCCTTGATAATTATTATACTAAAACTTATGATGTTACTATAAAAACCCTTTCGATTTAAATTAGTAAGACGATGGGTATTCGTTGTAATATAAGCATTACAAACATTCTAAGAGATTCCTATCAACAATAATAAAATATTTCACGAAAAAATCATGCAAGTTTTTTAAACAGCTGAAATTAAACCAGGCGCATATTGTACGACCGTCTCGATCTTATGTTCTTATCGGCTGTTATTCGAGAATTCAATAAGAATGATCAAGATTCTGGCGTCAAGATTCGCAGTAAAAATTGCATGTGAGTACTCAGTGGCCGTGAGTATTACATGAGACACAGCCAACCGCTGCCCACCGCTAGGAAATATTTACTTTAAATAATTAATCTAAATATTATAGTCTAAGAGGTTGTCACGCTGAGACACAACAGTCTAATGAACAGGAGATCCCGCAGAAACAGCTTCTGCAAATTTGTATTTGAATTTTATCTCTTGCTGGCGAAGTTTGTTGATCGTTTTTGTAAAATTAAATAGTTGATTGCGTGATTTTTTCGTTTTATCGCCTTGAAGTTCTTTGAGACGATAAAAAATTGTAAATCTAATTTAATCTTAACATAAATACAAGTTTGAATGTATTTCAATTAGATAGAATATGAATCGTTATAAAAGATAGAACTGTCATCATTTCAACAGCGCTATTCTAAGTTGATTTATGAAAGCGACATTTTAATACGAATGTACATTCATTTAGATATAATATATTTTTGTTACAAAAATTTATTCAAAAAAGTCATTATATCTTAATATATTTGTGCCGTATATAAATATATAGATCTATTTTCTTTTTAAAATTAAATTAATTAATTAAGTAGAAATGTGTTTTATCGATTGTTAGCATTGTTCCTGAGCTCTGAACGAATTTAAATTTCATTTACTGAAACGGACACATAGCCGAGAGTCAATTATTAAAGTTTAGTTATTATTTAACTGTAACTGTGTAAGTATGTAATGAATTTCTATTTCGTTCTTGGCTCAAAAACTACAAGACTTAATCAAATTTAAACGTCACTATGACATTTAACTGTCAATGTCATTTTGAGTTTGGCGGTAATCGATTTTAAACCAAGACAGCGGCGAACGAATACGGGATATCGATTATTTTCGTTATCAAAGTTCAACTTAAAACTGAAGCTCTGAATTAAGCAAGACCCAGGCTCCCAAGAGCCCCCAACATGATTATATTCATTCGCTGCTATTAAATTATATTTAAACATAGCTTTATTACAGACATTATCAACGCAAATCGATTCACAAGTTCCACGGGCATTATTAAAACCACTTTAACGGTTTTCTAGTCTAGGTCGACCGTGAGGATAAAACACTTAACCCTTTGAGAGTGAGCCGTCGATAAATCGACTCTTTATTAATGCATATAAAGTGGGGAGCGTGGGAAAAAGGGTTAAGATTTTTTTTAATGTTAGAAATTGTAAAACAAATATGTGCATGTTTCAAATCGTGAATGCAGTTTTAATAATACTCCTCGGGGAACAGGAGACGGTAATGTTCCACCGGCCATCGGGTAACATGGTTGTGGGCAGGGCGACTAAATTACCGTGACTTACTCATTACTCAAACGGCCGTGTCCGGTTTTTTTTCTGGTAGCTTAGAGTTCCCGTTCGTAATGTACTCGGCGTGGTCGTGGGTGGGATTCTCGGAGCCCTTGATGTCATCGTGGGATGGCAACGGCGCTTCCGAGTCCGCCCCGTCCGGCATATCGATCCGATGGGATCGTCCTGCCACATGTCAACATTTGTAGCGATCAAGAACTCGTTCGTGTGACGATAGCCAGGGCCGGATATTTTTTTCTTGTGATTTGTCATTTTAGAATTTATATCACAAATTTACTGACAGCTGAATCTATTATAGTTATTGTTTTAAAGGCCTTTAGGGATACGATTATTTGTAAATTGAAGGGTGAGTAAATGGTGCGAACAGTCCTCTCCCGGGTGATATTAAAAACACAAATAGTTGAGTACCGTCACCGTAATAATATACATAAAACAAATTAACTTTTCATTAAAAATTTTAATGAGCTGTTTTAATATTTAATCAAAGTTTTTCTCATTAAAAAAGGAATTGATTTTCAGTTTTTTTTTCTACTTTTTAATCAATAAACTCAAGAAAATTGATAAAACCCATGCGAATTATTTTAAACTTGTTATTGTTATGAAAATTCATGCAAAATTTAAACACAAAATATATGTTTATGACTGCTAATTGTCAAATGTATTATTAACCGGCAGACAGAGGGGCGATCTGAGCCAATCGGCACCATTGACGATGTCAATACATTGTCAATAGACCGCTAGAGTACTACTAGTGTCACTTGTCTTTACTTATAATAGGAATTATTTTAAAATACTCAATGTAACAGTCAAAAAACATAACAAAAATATAATATTAGTTTCAAAACACTAGAAGTCATGCGCGTTCTGTTATAAGTTAGTTTCAATGCATGCAAATTATCAAATAAGATATTTATTTATATTAAAAAAAACCGTTCTTGATCGCAATAAACATTGATACGGGGCTTACATACGTATAATCAACACATACTAAAACCGTAAGGTCTAAACGTCCATATTTGCACAGGAGAAGAACTTTTCAATGCCAATAAGCATGTTAATTATTAAATCTACAGAACTTCTGACCTTTCGATTTTGCTATATAACCACTAAAATAACTAGAAGGCTTTAGGTTTTAGCGCTTTGAAACAAGCCACTGGTTAATTAGTTTAAAGTAAATGAAAAATTTTACGAATTCTTTTTAAATGACCTTTACAAATATAGGATCAGCAAAAATGGCGCCAAAATTTTTTCACCGCGGCTTATGTATAGCTTTTTCCACAATGTCTTTTGACATTACTTTATGGAGAAATATCGCGTCTGAGTAAACTTTTGGCTTTTTTACGCGCTCAAATTATTTCTCCGTTCTGAAATTGTTTCAAATTTATACTACGTAAAGAAATAATTGACATCGGCTTCAAAAGTTCGTAAGAAATGTCGATTTGTTTTAATCTTATTTTTTTGTACAGGAACTAGCTAGTATTTCGAATGACGATTGATTAACCATAGCATTGTCTACGAAACTAATAATATTTACCCAAAGCCTCCTTATAAATTGCCATTTTTATATAACTACGCAAGCAGAAATCATTGCATTTCCAAGATGCCTTAACTACATATAAATTTTCTACTACAATATTTTGATATTATTTCAATATTTGTGTTGTTGGGCCGTGTTAAAGCTATACTCATTATAAATTGCGGGCATTTTTTTGATAGTTTCTTTGAAGCGAAAACAATAAATTGTAAATTAATATTAATCTAACACTTAGCATTTTAGGTTAAGTTTGAATTTAATAAAATGAATATTTAACAGGTTTTTGTTAAAATAATTATGCAAAGACTAATTCTATCAGTCAAAGTGTTTACGATTTGATCGGCTTTTTGCACAGATCACTCGAGATGGTGGTTCTCAAGTCGTGCCAACAATTCGATCCAAACTAATATTGGCGGTTGGCTTTCCTCTCGGTCTTACTTGACCAGCTCATTAGTGCCGCTTTGTATCGCCATAGCATTGATTTTGTTAAATAAAAAAATATGCCGCAAATTTATAATGAGACACATTAAAACAGTGATTTCGGTGATATTATTTCTACATTTATTTACCTATCGACCGACAGCCCTCGAGCCTAAAAAGGTATTTTGTTCGTTAATTTTGATAAAAATGATTAAGTATTTCAATTGAAAAAAAGATATATTTTATTATTTAAAAAAACATGCGATGATTAAAAAAATATGGTAATAATATAATTGGAATAATTTGATGGCAAAACCATTTAGGTTTTTTAGAGTTGCCGATATAATGTTATTAAAGTCAGTTTAATTTTGTATTCGTTAAAAAGGTTTATTAAAATGTGGGAGTCAGATGACGAAATATTAAATGTTTTTTGTCATAAATGCTTGAAAAAAAACTATGGAATGCACTAAACTTGAAATTAACGTTTCAATTTTCACAATCCGAATTCGACAACATCGTCGAAACTCCTTGAGTTTAAAAAAAAAAAAAAAACTAGAGACTAGAACGACTGACATCATCTGTCCGAAAATTGAAACGTCAACTGTCAAAACTATTGTAAATGAAACGTCACTCACCAGCGAAGCACCATCTGTCGGTCGCGAACGCGAACACACCCAGGAACACCGCGATCAAGAGGACGAGCACGGCCACCACTATGCCGACTATGGCTCCGGTGTCTAATTCAACGCCTAGAAAAAAAAACTAACAGTCTAAGACTTATTTGGGCACGCTATTTTTTTTTATTTCCCTTGTAGGCAGACGAGAATACGGACTACCTAATGGTTACCGTCGCCCATGGACGTCAACAATGCCAGGGGCAAAGTCAACCTCCTGCCTACCGTTAATTCTCTGCAGGTCTCATTTGAAGAAGGCCTACATGTTAGCACGTGAATACTCTACCCACATAACAAACCACAAAGTCCCCTTATCCATTAATGCCTCCAGTTGTTGTCTCAACATCATGCGGCCCAGTGATTCCGTACAGACCGGGCACCATCAGGCTATTGACACTTCATTTGAAGCTCCTTATTTATTATAGCGTCTACGTTGACACTGTACGAAAGATTTCAGGTGTAACCTTTTATATTAGTGTCTTAAATGACGAGCTGGAGAGTCGTAATAGTCTCCGGAGACATGAAATCCAAGTCTAAATCAGCCGCCTCAGCCTTCAAGCTGTAACTGTAGCTTTACCAAGCAATTTATAACACTATCTCGCCTCACACGTCAACGAACACCTGCATTGTCCGTCCATTCTTCTATAACTACCACACACTAACTCATTTATAATATATTCCTTTAAATAGTTTCTACGCTGATAGAGACATGCGCGTTCCACATGCGCATAGGTTTACATGCAGTTTTGTTACCATGCATCTTTTACTAGTAATCATTTTTAAGGATCTTATATTACTTTTTAGAATAATGAATATCCTGCCTAGTGACATACTGGTCAAACCTTTCTACCTCAATTATCCACAAAAATAAAACCAAAATTGGTTATTATGTCTGATTGATTGGCCAAAAGGATGTGGTCTGTACAGTACCCGGCGATAAATGTTGCACCTCGACGACCTTTTCAAAGAGCCAATCGCCTAATTTTGGCTTCGTAAAACATTATTTGTGTCGCAAGAACCACGAACAGTCCTGTATCTATAGGACCACAAGCTATTGCACTTAAACAAACTGACAAACAGGGATAACGCTCGAAGAAAGCCGAAAATAGTCGATTGTGTTTGCAAAGACGATGTGCAATATTTATTGTCGGGTACTGTACAATCAATGCTTTTACAATATTGTATTTTAGACACAAATGTTACTCAAAAATTTAATTTGTAACTAAGGCACCATTATTACAAGTTAGAAATGCTGAATTGACGAAACAACAGTTCACATAACTTCATTTTTGTGGCTCCCATAAAAAATATAGGACCCAATAAAATAGCTTTCTCATTAGGGAAAAACCACAAATTCTGTCCACTTAAATAAAAATATTTCTTCGAAAATTTAAAATGAATTTAAATAAATCATTCTTGCAACACCAAGCTCCTAAACTACCATTCAGTGACTTCAATTTCTTACCATATAATTGTAACAATAAAGCCGAGTTCACAGTAGACGCTGTCGACAATAAACCTCTTATGGGCATAATTTGGCATAGTCAAGTTTTATTTCCGTGAAATTCTGCTGAGATGCGAGGTTGATAATCAGACGTATAGTGCTGCCCCGCTCATTGTGACTGCTTTGCGGCAGAAATAGGCAGGACGGTGCTACCTACCCAAGTAGGCATCCAAAACCTCTATCAGAAAATTACCGTATACCACTATAATACTCAGAGAACGCTGCTGTTCATTCTTAGTCATCTTCCGACATCCACGGAGAGAGGAAGACGTAGTGGACTGTATATCTTTATCCGGATGTGAATGTTCGTGTATATAAAGACCATTGCTTAGCCATGACTACCTTTTATAGCCGTAATTTCCTCGCTTTTCACTTAAACCCCCTCTCCCCCTCTAATTGTTGGTAATTGCTAATTCAATACTATCTACTGGACAGTAACGTTAGCAAAGTGATCAATATGAGCCAAATCATATTAACGTGGAAGCATAGTAAAAAATTTAAGATACGCAGCGGAGACTTCGACGTGGGGAGGTAGACATTCAGTCCAGATAGGCTGTGAGTGTGGCAGCAAGACGTGATGAACTTACCAGCAGGCTCGTCCATAGTGCTCATTCGGAGTGTGAACTCCTCCCTCCCAAGGTCGTTGAAGACTTGAAGGTAATACGTTCTCTCAACGTCTTCTTTGGTGATGCGAGCGAGATGGAGGCTCACATTGTAGTGTCCATTGCCCTGGTTAAGGAGAATTTTTGTAAGCCTTTATTATTCCACTTCGTTCTTTACTCATGAAACTTTCGTTTCTTAGCTTCAAAGCTTTGAACCGATTTCGTTTAAATTCGGTATGGAAATAGTTTGAATCCTAGGAGAGAATAAGGTTATTAATTCATCCTACTGCTGGGTATCCGTCCACGCCAGTAAAGCTGCAGGCGGAAAGCTAGCTTCGATTAGTTTACCTTTCTTGAGTCATGAAACGGAATCCTCATACCCTTAAACTCCTAGTTGTCCTCACTCCACTTCACAAGCTTCGAAGTTGAAGATTAAAGTAGGGCTTGCAAAGATTTGTTTGCGTAAACTATGTAGCTTTGCTTTCATTCTGGGTGAAGGAGGATGTTGTGGAGGTCCAAGATACGACCACTAAGCATCAGGAGGAGGAGGACATGGAACACATTGACTAACAAAGAAATACGCACCAAATGAAGAGGCTCCAAGGCCGTGATGGCTCCGTTGTCAGTGGAATGTGGGGCAGTTATCCTGATGTCGCCCACCATCCACACCGCAGTGGGAGGGGGGTTGGAGCGGACGGTCACGTTCAGCTTCCCTTCAGCTCCGAGCTTCAGTCCGAAGACGGTGATAGGACCGGATTCAAGGCGCTTGGGTGGGTCTGCGGGGGTACACCAACGCTTCATTAAAACCAAAAATTATCAAGAGGTTTTTAATAGCTTAGACTGATAAACGATAGCTCACCTGTTTGTGGTTACCGTAGCCTATGGACATCAGGTCGAAAGTTTCAATAGTACACTAGCAAAGATTTCCCGATCTTTAAAACCGAAGATATCATTGCTTCGTTGCAGAAATAGAGAAGCTGGCGATACCCACCCTGGCGGGCCCATAAAACTCTCTAACAGCAGTCTTCGAAGTCGATGCAGGATTATACTAATTATCATCTAGTATCCTAGCTCCTCCTAGATCTCGTGGACGATCTCCAACACGATGGACCGACCTCATAAAATCGGTGACTCACTCCAACATAAACGATGGCTCTCACTCTGCGAAAAATCGTGCCACATGGCGTCGCATCGCGGGAGCATCGGTATCGCAGGATTCGACTGAGAATCTAAAAAACTTACAATGCACAATGAGTTGTCTCTTCGCTTCTCTGGGCTGGTCCAAGGCCTCGTGTTCCGCCCGGCAGGCCAGCATTCGGTTGTTGTCGTCAGCCCTGATGGTCCTCGTGATGTTCTGGCTGACGGTCTGCAGGTCGGAGCCTGGCTCGTCGGTGACAACAGGCTGATGGACCCCTTCAAGCAGTTGCTCGTCATCTGGAAGTTAAACGATAAAACGGCTTCAAATTCGTGAAAAATACATCAAGGTTTCGAATATCAAATATCTTTAACAAAGATATTGACGTCAGATGACATCAAATCCAGTGCTCGTGCCTCCAAACTCTGTTAACTACTTACCGGAGTCTATACAACGTAAATGCCGCCACCTACCTTGAGACATGACTTATACCGTGTCGGCTTAACATTACAGCGGCTGCCCCGCCCTTCAAGCCGAAACGCATTACTGCTTCACGGCAGAAATAGGCAGGGTGGTGGTATCTACTTTCGCGGACTCACAAAACGTCCTACCACCAAATTACAATTTTATGAGTTTGATTTTCATTACACGATGTTATTCCTTAATTGTGGAAGTCAATCGTGAACCTTTAATAAGTACGTGTATTTCATTAGAAAAAATTGTACCCGCCTGGGATTCGAACACCGGTGCATCGCTAGATACGAATGCACCGGACGTCTTATCCTTTAGGCCACGACGAGTTAAGTCGAAGGGTTAAGTGTTTTATTTAGATATCCTACTGGTCGATTCTTGTATAAACAATTTTCTGCATATTGTCTGTCACTGTTGGTTACGTAAATCAAAGAAACGATTATTTTATATACATATACTGAGTGTTGTCCGTTTGTCCTATTATTAATTTCGACGACGAGCATACGGCCCACCGGATGGTGAGTGGTTACCGTCGCCCATGGACTTCAGCAATGCCAGGGGCAGAGCCAAGCCGCTGCCTACCGTAACTGCACGTATATTGGCAAAAGCAAATTTCCAGCTACACGTTTGTCGTTTCCAATCTTACCTAAGAACCACAGGATCTTGGCGGCCGGTCTGCCGTTCGGTACAACGCACTGCGCCGAGAATATGTCCTCTTCTTTGAACTGAGGCTGGGGGGGAGAGATCAGGTGCGGGTCTCCGGGGGCCCCTGTAATGCAATCGTCACATATTCCAGAACGTCGGCGAATGGTTATTATAACTCTTATAACTAAAACTTAATCTTACATTACTCGTCTTTTTAGATATTAGATTATGCCATTTTGAAAATCGGTGCGAATGATTACTGTCCTGTAGAAATAGGCAAAACAGTGGTGGAGTAATTTTTGTTTTTTATGTATTGCATTGATGGGTGGACGAGCTCACGGCTTGCCTTATGTTAAGTAGTTACCGGAGCCCATAGACATCTACAACGTAAATACCGCCACCCACCTTGTGATATGAGTTGTAGAGTTATGCGTTGCCCCACCCTTCAGACCGAAACGCATTACTGCTTCACGGCAGAAATAGGCAGGGTGGTGGCACCTACCCGCGCGGACTCACAAGAGGTCCTACCACCGGTAATTACGCAAATTATAATTTTGCGGGTTAAATTGTTATTACACTGTTATTCCTTCACCGTGGAAGTAAATCGAGAAGATTTCCTAAGTACGTATTTACGTACGTACGTAAAAATTGGTACCCGCCTGCGGGATTCGAACACCGGTGCATCGCTAGATACGAATGCACCGGACGTCTTATCATGACGAAAAATCATGATACATAAGGATGATTTGTAAAGCGTGTTTAGTAATCTCAAACTGACTGGCGACAAGCAGCCTCATGGTGCCGGTGACCTCGATGTTGCTGGACTGTGGCGGCAGGACGCAGGTGACATTGCCGTTCCAGTCTTCCCTGATGTTCTTGATGTGCGCGCCACATTCTCCGGTCTGCGGACGACAAACATGTGTATTATCAATAGGGCATGAGTCTCCGCATCACCGGATTTTCTCCGTGGGTCGCGATCCGGTGGTAGATTCCGCGAAGCACTGCTCTTGCTAGGGCTAGTGTTAACAAACTCTTTCAGTTCGAGCCCGTGAGCCCACCTACGGGCGTAGCTGGAATTGCCTCTTAGGCTACCAGCGTATAGTTAGAGAAAAAAAAGGCTCCGCAGATAGATGTTGCTTAGGCCGGTGGTAACAAGGTCGTAAGACATGAGATCATAGGTCCAATCAGGTATACAAAGAAACGCATACTGGACATGATGCCATCCCGCCCCCTCCGTCGTATTCTTCAATTCTGACGGTCGTGACCTCTCTTCTGAATCACTTTCTCGCACACGATTTATGAAGCATATGAAACAAAATTTTGATTGAGGCGTCAGCAATTATGGCCGTAATCCTATCGTTGGTTGAAAAATCGGTTGATCGAGGAAAATTTCACTATTAAACTTTGGTTTGGTTTCCTTTACTACACACACACACACACACACACACACTTACTGTGAGTCCTTGTCCGGAGTACACGACGTCGCCTTCCTGGTTACCAGGTATCAGCCTGTACGAAGTGGTGCCGACGATCATTCTGTAACCACAAGATACATAGGGTCATCGCATATCCCGTGTCACTATAGAAGATTCTGAGAACTGCAGGAGTGGATGAGATCCGAGACAAGTTTCGGTCTAAGAACAATATGGCGCTAATGACGCCTCAATAGAACACTTACCGACAGGAGTCTATCTGATACGGCACTTTGCAGAGAACGATGAGTTCGTCGCCGATCCGACGGACAGCTTTGATGGGGGTGATCTCCACATTTTGACCTGGAACAGAGAGGAAACAATTAAGAATCATTACGCAGACTTCCGGAAAAGCCGTCGTGCATACTGTACGCTAGAGCGAACGATATTAACACGGTTTCTTTAGTCGTCATCCAGATACAGAACTCGAATAGGCTGGTTTAGGGCATATTGTGAGTGAGGTATAGTCCTGCCTGATTCTGGAAGTAGCATCCTTCATCGTTTCAAGGATGAGACGAATTGTTCGGCAGCTGGTACTTTAACATTAGGCATCACAAATATTTAATTTTAAGCCCCGGCGACTTATCACCGGATCGCTAACCAACCTGTGCAATGAAGAGAAACAAGTGTTTAGGTTTCGGCCCGTGAACCCCGGGAACTGCTTCACGCAGATGAGTCGTCATTACGTCTATGTGAAACTATTGATATAATGCTTTTAATCCACTAATTTTTCCTAGCACGAACTGGCTGGAACTGGATCCCGCCGGTTCGCAGCGGTCCCTCACTCCGGGGACTCATTGAAAGCTTTGTTCTGTTCCCTAAATTAGTTCGAGAAGCTTCTAAGTAACGAGATAACTACAAAAGCTAATGCGTCTGTCGCTGTCCGAAGACCGTTTTCGCCAAAAATACTAGTATCATACATAACATATATTTTTAAGATGACACATTTCGTATTGTAGATTTATTGTATTATTTTTTGTATCATATTTTGTAAATTTTATTTATTCTTCTTGACTATCTTACTCACGCGTTGTGTTAGCAATGGAAACTTGTGTGGTTTTTGTCAACCTATCTTTAGTTTCCGTGTATACATTGTAATGTTAGTTTCTCATATAAATAAACAATAGCTGAGAAAGTTAAATATAATTACAATTATAAAATAACTAGCGACCCGCCCTCGCTTCGCTTCGGAAACATGAAAACACACATGAAACCAAAAAAATAAAAGTTTTTTTTTTTAAAAAAGTAGCCTATGTTCATCAGGGACAATGTCGGCTTCTAATAGAAAAAGAATTTTTCAAATCGGTCCAGTAGTTTCGGAGCCTATTCGAAACAAACAAACAAACAAATCTTTCCTCTTTATAATATTAGTATAGATATAGATAATAACATGGCACCCGACAAAGAAAGAGAAAAGCGATTTGTTAAAAACGTCTCCGAATGCAACACAAGAGGATGCAAGAGGATTGGGGTCTCGTCTGAGGAAAGTATTTTAAATAATTGACTGTTGTTAAGAGAAGCCAAACAAAATTGATTGAATAAGCGGGCGTTACACTGAGTGATCAATGTTATCTTTAGAATAAAGAAATATATTGAGCGAACTGTTCTAGAAAGTTTAACTATAACATTTTAAGTTTAAAGTTCTTCGCTTAAAGTTAACTGTCGGAAATCAATAGAGATAAATAAAATAAAATCGTCCGTTTGTAATTTCGAAATAATAGCTTTTCTTAAGACGGGTCGTTTTCAAATTTGGGACCAAAAGCGAGTTATTTGATTTAATTGTCATAGCTTAATGTTACCGTAATTATAAGCACAGTACATTTGTTGTCATGACAACAGGCACGTGGTCCTATAACTATATATTCGCAAACACCATTAAATTAGGAGTTATACATTAAAAACTACCCCAAATCTCATTCGTATCACTGGTTCGAAATTAAAATTCTAACTTGTTTGCTATTTTTCCAGTAAAGCGTGTTGAAATTCGGCAATATTATTTAATCAGTATATAATACAATAATAAAGGAAAACTAACTGGCTATTAGAACCTTATCAAAAACAAATAAGTTCAATTTCTAAGCTTTTTAAAAAAGTTCCTATTTAAATTGTCATCCGTGTTGGCGTTATCAAATGCGTAAAATGAAAAATATAAATGAATATTATATAATATTATCAATAAATGAGTGATTGACTTCATTATGATGAAGCACTTTTAATTTTGAACATGCCTAATTACAAAAAAGTGGAAAATTAGAGAAAATTTAAATTAAAAAAATGTGTGCGTGTACTAGTGTACACACGTAAGAAGTGAAACTTGTTTATGGCCTTATTTTTCGAAAAATGATCTACATGCAACTTTCTAGAAATTGGTTAAATAAAGTTAAATTAGATAAAGTTTAAACAAAAGGATTTTATTATCATAGACATGAATACAAAACAGATGGCGCGTAACGGAAAAAAGTGACGCGTAACCGAAAAATGTGACGGAAAATTTTTTTCCAACGCCGATAAGGAAGTTTCACTTCAATGAAATCGTTACTTTTTTGGCCGCAAAATTGAAAACGACTCCGACGCGTTGAACACTTTTTGGTAGAGGAAAATCTTATGGGTTCGCGTCACCGACACGTAATGTTACATATACACATATAACACACCTTAAATACCTGACCATGTATTGTGCGCGTTACACTTTTTAACTCACATTATTTCGTTATGACAAAAACTAAACAATTTTTTTGTCAGTTTTTATCAGCCCGTACAAAGATAAAATTAATTCCCAAAATATTTTCAGTGATATCGTCGGCCGTCTGTGCTTCTGTATTATAAATATTAAAGATCCAACTAGCTTGACGACTATTTACTACATCATAGGTCACGGGCTATCCATTTATAGCGTTATTTATGGAGCGTAAGAAGTGAGAGTTGACGTGTGGAAATAAATTGAACATTTAGGATGTTTATGAACCTTACCGTGTATTGTTCATAGACCTATATAGTAGTATTGTTTGTTGACTGACAGTGACATCTGGTGACAGCTGCGTGTTCTGTTATTCCGATCGCGCCCGAAAACTCCCGATGATTCCCGAGTGCGACTTGGTGTGCTAATGTTGCACGCTACAACATCTAATGCAATAAAAAAAGACTCCAGTCAAATATCTAATCAAGTAATGCGCTTATCAACTCCCCCGAGCACCGAAACGATCTTGCAAAGCTATGAACCGTTCGTTATTATTTTCTGTCTACCCCAATTTGTAGGGTCGTAATGGTATGTCATGTAAATGACAAGGATTCTAATAATTTTTACTAAGCAGCCGGTGTTGATACACTGAGTCAACTGTGGAAGACATTTACATCGAAACATAAGACTCAACATCAGCATAATTCTCTTGCCTCTTCTAATTTACTTAGGAGTTTTCGGCTTTCCCCGATCATTTCTTGCCGATCTTCGCATCCCTCCACCTGGCCGGGGGTGTCTCACATTACGAAGACTCAATTACCATTAAATAATCAGTCTTTTATCTAGAACGCATAATTTCTGGGCAGCTAATTGAAGCTAATAAAGGATTTTTTACTCTAAATCTTACACATTAACCATTCGTCTATTAGAGAGACCGGGATGCGACCGCAATCGCTGACAAATTGCTCAACCGCCTCAGGGGTGTGCTATCCTAAACTGATTTTATTGAGTGCTCAATAACGCGGGGCTCTACCAAACAATTACGAGCCCCTGTATTGAGGGATGATTTTGTAATAGTGTTACGTTGGTGCGTGCCGCGCCCGTACGGACTGGTACCATGAAACAAGTATAATCTGGTAGCTTACAGAAAACTGAGAACTGTTATTTCAGACTAAGCATAAAAGTCTCGGTGTAGTAGTAGAGAAGTATATCCATATCAGATTACAGAGAGAGAGAGAGAGAGAATAAACTTTATCTAGCTCTGACGTCACGTGAGAAGAGAGAGAGATGTGTCACAAGCCAACGCTTGGGCCGATCGTGTCTCTCTATCGCTTGTTCCGCGCTCTCGCTTGCACGCTCAAGCTAGGGCGGAACGTGACAATTTTTCATGCGTGCAGCCTCGTCGATTTATAAGACAAAAAAGCAATCAATATGCAGATATATTTGTACAATAGGCGGTCTTGTCGCTAAAAGCGATCTCTTTCAGACAACTGTTTTATTTACGGAAATTCTGAAAATGATAAAGATACAGCAGGTATGTTGCGGTGTACATATTAATAATACATTATTAAACAAAATACATAAATATACAATAAATAGATATATACCGTTTACATATGATATGAAATCACTACTATATGATTTATAGTATACGAAATATAGCATAGATTACCGTTTTTTAAATATTATTTTAGAAATTTTATGACCTGGTAACTAAGACCTTTAAGTCATGTCTTATTTTAATTTATATTCTTATTTTTATGGATAATGATAATATGGTCTGAAATTAAATGCAATGAAGATGATTAATTTGAGACATTAATCGACTGGGATGAAATTAAATGAAATGATATGGGATGAAATATAATCTCAGTACAAATGGTGGTCAATTACTGAGATTTTTTCAGTGGATTTTTTGGTAGATCCCGAGAAGTTACGTCCAGCGGCTTTGTTTAATTTTCCCACATTTGTGCACTTTCACAGATGTTCAACAGTTAATAAACCACCGTCATACCACACATATAAACATGAAGAAACACTAAATAGGCAAAATAAAACAAATCACACAACTTCACTCCGCGCGTTCCCGCCAAAAAATCTATATTACGTTTTTTAAATCTTTATTTTTATACACAGAACCACTCATTGGGTTTAAACTTATGTTAACAAATTCGAGTCAAAAAGTTATTTTACGTAAAAACGGACATAGAGAATTTTCAGATTTATATAAACAATTTTCATTAGTATCTACGGGTAGGTACCACCACCCTGCCTATTTCTGCCGTGAAGCAGTAATGCGTTTCGATTTGAAAGGTGGGGCAGTCGTTATTACTATGCTGAGACCTTAGAACTTATATCTCAAGGTGGGTGGTGGTGTTTACGTTGTAGAGGTCTAAAGGCTACGGTAACAACTCAACACCAGGTGGGCTGTGAGCTCGTCCACCCATTTATGCAATAAGAAAACAATAAAAAATATATTTCGTAGGGTATTCAAAAAAATCACAAAAAAAAGATTTTGTTTTTTGTATATTAAAAAAAAAGTAACAAGATATGCGAATAGGCCACTTGCAGTGTCGAGTGTCTATTGTGATAACGAGGGGGAATATCCCTTTATTTGGCGGTTTTA